AGGGAGGGAGGGAGTAAGGGAGAATATGAATAAATATTTTTTTTTAATTTTAAAAAGACAAACAAATTAACCACAGTAAAAAGCAAACAAGGAAAAAAGAATGAATGAACAAACAAGGTTAATTAACCAGAAGGAAACTGAAAAGAGAGAGTCTACCTAATGTGACCAGAAAAAAAGGCCTCTCTGAGAAAGAAAGGCAGACCTGAGATGTTGAAAGTTGGAAGCAGAAAAACAAGTTTTGCATGGTAGTGGTGCATGCCTTTAATCCCAGCACTCTGGAGAGCTCTGAGTTCGAGGCCAGCCTGTTCTATAGAATGGGTTCCAGGACAGCCAAGGCTACACAGAGAAACCCTGTCTCAAAAAAACCAGGAAAAAAAGGAGGAGGAGGAGGAGGAGGAGGAGGAGGAGGAGGAGGAGGAGGAGGAGAACTCAGAAGCACATTCAAGAATCAACAAGAAAGTCAATGGTAGCTGAAATGTAGTAAAATGGCAGAGGGGCAGATGAAGAGGGGGGTAAGTGGGAGGCTGTTGAATTTTCCTAACTCAACTTGTCTCCTACTGTCTTGCCACGGGTCCATCAACACAGGTGTTCTCACCCTTCATTGAGCTTTCCAGGCATCTGATTGCACCTGACAGTAGCGATGGTAAACAGACTGCTGGGGGGAATTAGCTACTAGTGGTCTAGAAAGAACGTTTCAGGCACCACTGGCGATAGCGTTTGGTTTAAAAGACACAATTGCTGAGGAATATTATTTTAAGGTGTGTTACTTTTGTTTATGTTGCATTTATTTAGTTCTGTGAAGCTGTGTTACTGTGCCTGTCTAAAACACCTGATGGTCTAATAAAGAACTGGATGGTCAATAGCAGGACAGGAGAAAGGATAGGCGGGGCTGGCAGGCAGAGAGAATATATAGAAGGAGAAATCTGGGGGGGGAAAAAAAAGAGGAGGTAGCCAGAGGGGCCAGCCAGCCAGCTACACAACCAGCAACAGAGTAAGAAAGAAAGGTGTGCAGAAATAGAGAAAGGCAAAAGCCCAGAGGCAAAAGAAAGACAGGATAATTTAAGGAAAGCTGGCAAGAAACAAGCCAAGCTAAGGCTGGGCATTTATAATTAAGAATAAGCCTCGTGGATGATTTATTTGGGAGCTGGGTGGTGGGCCCCCCAAAGAGCAAAACGACCCAAAGAACTAAGAGCTAAAGAACAAACAACAACACACAACCTAAAGGAAGAATCTTCACGGATTTTATGACTGTATCTTCCCAACTATTCAGGAATTATCAAGGTCTGGCAAAGGACACTGTAAATCACTCTCATAATTTAAACCTATTTTTCATTCCAAGTCTAATTAATTGCTTTTCCATTTCATGAATTTGGAAATATTCAACTCCTAAACATAAAACCTACAGGCGCAAACTATTCCACATGTTCCTATATTGCTTGAGTCTTTTGAAGCAAGGTTTCTTTTTTTTCTCACCTAACATAGCTACAGTCAAGCTTTTCAAAGAGACAAAGCTGGGTGTGGCGGAACACATCTGTTAACCTGGGCTATGACAAAGAGAATCCGTCTTAGAATAACACCACAAACCAAAGAGACAAAAACGTTTTTAAAACTTTCCTGATCTAAAAGGTCACTTCTTGATAAAGGGGGAAAAAAAGAAAAAAAAACCCTGTAACCTAGTCAAAACGACCAAGTTTGAAATCCCTGTCTTTCCTCTTGGTCAGCCACCATCTCCCTCCAGGGATCATGCGCCTGCCAACCAGACTTGCTGCTAGCCTCCTGGTCCTAGGCTCCCCCACACCTCAGACTTTATGATTTACATTACCCACTGGGATAAATCCAACCAGTTCTTCAGGGTGCGAGGCAAATCCTCTCCATCCCTGCCCCTCCCTGAGCCGAACCTCCACCTCACCTCTGTGCTCCAGGAGCAATTCCACAACTCAGAAGCTACCTGACCATCCCACCTGGCCCAGGGCTAGACAGAGGACGTCTGTATGTCAGGCAGGAGTACTGTCACCCTGCCCCTCCCCTGAACTGGCCCTAGATACGTTAGTGTGCCTACCTGCAACCGTTTACAATTCAGTTTATGATAGCATGCATTTTAGTGCCCGCCAAGTCCTTGCAGAACTTACACAAAACAGGGGTTTTCTTCCAAACCTGGAATGAAGTCTTTAGTGCCTGGTTCTTAATGACACAGCACATGAAAGTTTTAAAATTTTCTACTCCCATTACCTATTCAAGATCTAGCTAAACTTTGTGAAACATGTGCTGATAGTTATGGAGAATCTAGGGGGCTGCAGGGACATTTAGAGCACTCACCGCTCTGCAGAGATGGGGTTCGATTCCCCAACACTTGTACAAACATGGTAGCTCAAAAGCATCTATAACTTCAGTTCCAGAGAATCTGACACACTCTCCTACCTCCCTGGGCACCAGGCACACGTGGTGCACACGCAAGCAAAACATACATACACCAAAAAATTCTTAATTAACCTTTTTTTTTTTTTTGAAATCTAGTCAGACCTGGTGCCACATACCTGAGCACTGAAGAGACAGGAAGATCAAGAGTTCAAGGTTATTCTCATCACCACAGAGATTCTGAGGCTACACTGGGCAACATGAGAAGATGTTTCAACCTGCCCTCCTTACCCCAAGCCCCAGAAAGAATCTAAGCTAGGCCTTGAGGCATATGCCTGTAACCCCACTGCTTGAAAGGCAAAGGCAGAATCACCGATCCCAGGAGTCTGGGCTCCTAATGACTTCTAGGCCATCTTGAGCCACATGGCAAAACCATGCTTGATAATGACGAAGAAGATGACAGAACGCAGAACTTGGGGCTCTAGAGCTGTAACACACTGACGGTCAAAGACCTTCACCCTGTCCCACAGCTAACCGCAGGAGCCAAAATGTGACTCTATCCCCCACTACCCACAAACCTGAATCTCCTGAACATCAGGAAGCTCAAAACATCTGGGGGGCGGGGGAGAGGGGGTAACCTTGACATGGGTAAACACTTGAATAGTTAACAAGATTTTAAATATTTGCTATCGGGGTGTTCTAGTCTTAATTTTTACGAGGAAGGGCTAATTAAGGATTATTTAATCACACAGATCACATTAACAGTTATTTTCAAACTCAGCTGTGCCAGTTAAGGGGTATAAAATATTCTGGGAACACACAACCAACCAAAACTTCTGCTTGGTAATGGCTCTGACCAGAAACGCATCCGCGGGAGTCAGTTTTTCCTTATTTGTGCCCAAAGGCCCAACAGACTAAACACTACAGCTGCCCCAATTTTCTAATTTCAACTTGCATTTAAGATAACGCTTTTGTTTCGTTTACAGCTCTCAGGCTGCTGACACAGCTGGGCCCCTTCTTTGTAATAAACACAGAGCTTCTATATTTAAAAGTACAGTGCAACTTTGTTTTAACATCCCCTCCCCAGTCTCCCGGCTAATTTTCTGTCTTCCAAAGCTCCACCTCCACCCCATGATTTTTTTTTTTTTTTTAAATCAGTGACGCTCCAAAGAGCCTCCCGGAAAGTGGAGTCTGTTCTTTAAAGACATCTCATCACAGTGGCACTTCTCTTCTCCGCAGCTTGTGGTGCGTTTGAAGAGGAAAGAGAGTTACAGGAGGGAAGAGAGACTTTCTGCAGTGGCCTCATCTTGAGGCTGGGGTGCTTAGGGGGGAAGCGGAGGACCCGGCTCGGGTGCACGCAGCAGGGGGGAATCCCAAGGCCGGGCAGGCGATAAGGAGCGGCGGGGGCCGGCGAGCCGAGGGGGAGGTCTGGAGTCACTGTTGACAGTAAGTGGAGCACGGCGGGCACGCCCCGGCCGGCGGAGTCCGGAGGGGGCAGCCCAGCAGGGTGTGGGCCCAGGGGGCACCCGGGGGCGGGGGGGAGATAAGGCGAGGCCCGAGTTAATCATCACCTCCCGAGCGCCTGGAAAAGTACGGGCTGAGGGCGGGGAAGAGCCTCGGGGGCAGCGAGACTCCTCCCGCACCGACCCGGGCGCGGTGGGGGGGGGAACCCGAGCGCAACGCGGCGCAAGCCAGCTGCCCGCCCCACGATCGACTCCACGGTTCCTTCCCAAACTCGCCCCACACCGACACACAAGTTAGCCGGATCCCCTAGAAAAAGCTCATCCGTTCCTCCAAACTCCAACAAGGCAGTACATAATAAAAAAAAAAAACTGACACTGTTCCCATACCGGGAGTCGAACCCGGGCCGCCTGGGTGAAAACCAGGAATCCTAACCGCTAGACCATATGGGAAGTGCTGCTGAGAGCACAGCCGTTACCCACCTGACTAGCGTCAGCCAAGCTGCCGCCTCAGCCGCCGTGCACAGCTCCCGGCGAAGCCGCCCCCCGCGGCCGCTGCGGTGCCACGCGCGGGGACGAGCCCGACGGACGAGCGGAGCGCGCGGGCGTGGCGGGGACGGGCGGGGGTGGGGAGGAGCGGGCCAGCCGCGCCACTGGAAAGTTTGGAGGCGAAGCCCCGCAAGCCCGGTGCGGTTCCGGCACCCGGCACCCGGCACCCGGCGGCTGCGCCTCTCTCTCTCAGCCCTCTCAGGTCCCGGGGCTGCAATCCGGTCACAGCGCGAGCCGGGCCAAGCCGAGGGCGGCGCCGTCTGTGGGAACAGCTGCGCGCGGCGTGGGAGGGGCGGAGTTGGGGTGGGGGGGGGGTGAAGCAGAGGCGGAGGCCGAGCTGCTCGGCCGCGAGAGTGGAGCTGCTGGAGCCCGGGAGGAGCGAGGACCGCGCGGCGGGACGGAGCTTGGCTAAGGGACCCTCGCGGCGGCCCCCGCAGCAGCTCCGGTCCCCGTCGCGCTGTCGTCCCCTTCTGGGTGACCTCAACCCCTTTATACCGACCCCACCTCTCGGGCGCCGCCAGTACCCGCCCCCCTTGGGGGAGGGGGAAGAGGAGGCAGCGACGCCGCGCGCGCGAGCGCGCGGCGGCGCGGATTGGGCCCTCGCGGCTGCCGTAGCCGGGCCGCGGGAACGCCGGGGTCCGGGGAGACGCGGAGGCCCGGGAGGTCCCGGCTCTCGCCGCCGCCGCCGCCGGCCGAGCAAACCGGGAGCGGGATCGCGGGGCTACGCGCCGAGCCGGCGCGGTCATGTGAGTCGGGTCGGACGTGAGCCGCGCGGCGGCCGCGAGCGCCCTCCTCCTCCTCCTCCTCCCGCCCCTCCGCTCACCCCGGGGCCGCCCGACCTGCCCGGCTGGTTCTCCCGGGAGACGCGGCCGCCCTTTCAGCCCCAGCCGGGGACTCGGGTACCGCCCCTGCCCGGCGGCCCCGGGGGCCCGGGTGGCGCTGTCGCCGCAGAGGTCCCCGAAACAAGCGAATTAGCTAAGAAGGGAAAAGGGAAAGAGCTTCCTCTGCCTCTCGTTTCCCTCCGCCCTGGGAGTAGCGAGGAGGAGAAGCCGGTGATTACCTTGTGGAAAGCGGTTCCACGAGGAATTTGGCTTCGCGTAAATAAATGAAACTGCTTTGCTAGGACGAAAGCCGTTCAGCAACTTTATATCCCAAATTTTACAAAGCATGACGATTCTCTTTCAATTTTTGGATCAACTGAGAGTTGTTTTTTCCTTTATTCAGGGCCGACTACTGGAAGTCACAACCAAAGAAATTCTGTGATTACTGCAAGTGCTGGATAGCAGACAACAGGCCTGTATGAAATTTCTAGTAAAATATTCATGTGACATGTTGCTTTTTGATCTAAGTACGGTTTACAAACCACTTTCATGTGTAGTGCTCTTGATTTTTCAAAACCTAGGAAGATTTCTTTTCTTTGTTTTCCCCTTATGAAAGCTACAGTCCTTCTCTTCATCAATCTAACTTTGATTTCAAGGCCTAATTATTTCTGTGGCCTTTGAGGAAATGGACCGTGAGTGGGTAATCTCATCCATGTTTATGGAACTCCTGCCTCTTAAAAAAAAATATATCGTACTTTTTCTTTTATGCTTGTTCTCCAGAGAAATTTGGAAGACCATCATTGTCCCCTCTCAAGAAATACAAAGATAGCAACCATAAAACACATTATGCTTATAGCCTAGCTCCAACTTTTAAAGCGAAAAGTCAACTGGCTTTCTTCCCTTTCAGATCTGTCCTATGCAAACATACTATATTGAAAACTAGAATATGGGGACTGGAGAGATGGCTCCACAGTAAAAAGCACCTACAGCTCTTGCGGAGGGGCTGGGGTTCCGTTCCCAGCACCCCATGGCCGTTCATAACCACCTGTGACTCCGGTTCCAGGTGATCCAACAGCCTCCTCTGACCTTCACTGGTGGCTGTACTCATGTGCTTTTGAACTTAACACAGGTGCACACACCCATAAAATAATGTTTAAAAAAGTACAGTATCTCGCCAGGAAGTGGTGGCGCATGCCTTTAATCCCAGCACTGGGGAAGCAGAGGCAGGCGGATCTCTGAGTTCCAGGCCAGCCTGGTTTATAGGAGTGAGTTTCTGGACAGCCAGGACTATGTAGAGAAACCCCGTCTTGAAAAACAAAAGGAAATCAAACCAAAAGCAATGGTATTTTATACATACATAACGTTTTTACTTGGCAGAACTGTGGTGCACAAAGGAATGCTGCCATTCTTTTGAGCTGTGTTCCCTCAGTAAACACTTGGAAATCACCTGTGAGGCCTTTGGCTTTAAGGAGTATTGCTCTTTTGTTTTGGTCTTTACTGATTGTTGCTAAAGAGTGTGCATATTTTATCTGGCTTAGACTGACCCTTACTAAAACTGCCATGAGCTTTTAAAACCACACAAATTGAAAAATGACCCATCCCTGGAGGTACCTAGGCAGTAAAGCCATACCTAGGCAGTAAAGCCAGTTTTATGAGTTACTGAAAACAAATTATCTTTCCAGAAGTTTGTCTGCATCTCCCTAAATGTCTAGTAATTTAACTGTTAACTACAAACCATAATCAGTTTTGAATGGTCCTTTCACATGGTATTCTTTGAATGGTGTATCACCTGTAGGTAACCTGGTAGAGGAACAATAGATGGTTGTTTGCTTTACAAACTCTCACTTTAATGAAGAATTCATAGGAGTATATTGGAATAGCTTGGTTAATGTGTCATACAGAATTTGATTGACAGCATTTACTTTAAGGCATTTTTCTGGGATTTTCTATTACTTACCATCAGACATCTATAATTTATTGAGAATTTCTGATTATTTAAGTAGGTCCCAGTGCTCACTCAGCCATCCATGTCAAAACTTAATTACTGTTACCTTTCAAAAGTTAACTCCCCCCCCCATGTCTATACTTCATTGTTTCCATGTGCATGTATTTTACTCCATCATGATGACAAATAGCAGTTTTGTTTTTAACTGAACAGTATATCATGAAGGTGTCTCCATGTCAATACATAGGGAGCTGTGAGCTTCTTGCCTGTGATAAAAACCTGTGCAATTCACTCAGCCAGGCCCCAGTAGATAGACTACAAGATTGTTGCTCCACACAGTACTACAATGAATAACCTTGTTTATTACATCATTTTGCACAATGTGAGGAATTTGTTTTAAATGTGTGTGGGTGTGTGTAGATGTGTTGGTGTGCATGTTCCTCAGGGTGCAGGTCAAAGGACAGTGTTCCTGCGGGTCCTGGGGGTGGAGGCGGGTGGTCAAGCTTGGTGGCAAGCACCTTGACCCACTAGGCCGTCTTGCCTGCCCAATGGAGGAATTCTTTAAATATCTATTTTTCTTAATGCTTTAAAGACCAAGTCCTTAAGGATATTCTTTATGTCTCTAATATAGCAAAGCAGAAAATGAAATTAGAGGCTTAACCAGTTTTGACATTTGATGTTGAAAGGTAGTGTGTTTTGTTGTTGTTGTTGTGGGCTTTTGTTTATTTGGTGGGGTTTTTGGTTTGGGACAGGGGCTCATTTTAAGAACCAGAGAACATCTAGTGGGCGAACACGATAATCTGCTTAGACCACTAGTGTCATTTGATTCAGGGGTCAGTTTGCATTAAAACTAATCATTTTTATATTTTCTGCCATTTTAATCTTATATTTTAGCCCTGTATTCACAGTATTAGTTTGCTGTGAGGTTAATGATGCTTTCCCTTTTCCATTTTCAAGAGTGTTGAATTTCATGAAAGAGGAAAGAATCACAAGGAAAATGTGGCCAAGAGGATCAGTGAGGTAATTTCAGTTGGCTCTTCGTTCATTTTCTGTGCAAATGTTGATCCCATCTCTCACGTATACCTTCATGTGTGTCTTACATAGATTAAACAGAAAAGCTTGGATAAGGCAAAGGAAGAAGAAAAGGCGTCCAAGGAGTTTGCTGCGATGGAGGCAGCTGCCCTGAAGGCCTACCAAGAGGATCTGAAACGGCTTGGCTTAGAGTCAGGTAAATATCAGCAAGACACTTTAAAAGTAACATCACGGGTCGTGCTGAGGGACCTCTTCATTGTTTCCGTATAGGAGTTCTGGACTTGAAAATATTGCAGTGCTTTTAGTCTCATTTAGAATGTGGACTTTGAAGTGCTTGTATTTTGTGCTATTGCTATTGTTGTGGTTATTTTGTTGTTGAGATACAGTCTCCCAGAATATCCTGGACTGGTCTTGAACTTGTGAGCCTCCTACCTAAGCCTTCGGAAATTCAAAAGCACAAACCACCATGCCTGGCTTGTTTTGCTTTTTAGATTATTGACTTATTTATCTTTATGTTGGTGATGTGTGGAGGTCAGAGGACAACCTGGAAGGGTCAGTTCTCTCTTTCCACCACGTAGGTTCCCAGAATCAACTCAGGTCAGTGGCAAATGCCATAATGCACCAAACCATCTTGCTGGCCCCATGTTTTGCTTTTAATGCTTTATCTTCTGACACCTTTATTCATATCAACCATATTACCTTTACAGTTACCTGGTCCTCACTCCAGCCTAGCTGAATGATTCATTTCTAAAACCTTGAGGCTTCTCTTTTAGATACTCATTGTTACAGGCACTACTTATTAAAAAAATTAAAATTAAAAACTTGCATTATAATTATATATTTTCCACATGGCCAAAACTGAGTTGTATCAATTTATATGATTAGCTACATAATGAAGGAGTTGCCTTTTCCTGACAAATAGTCGACTTTACCTCAAGCCGCAGATTGTTTTGAGGGTTTGAGTTATGGATGTTTTCAGCTGGTTGAATTCAGGCTCTAAAGTAGGAAGTTTTTGTGAGCTTTCCTCCAAGACAAATTGTTTTAGTTACTTTTCTGGTAACAGAAGACCTGACAGCAACAATTTACAGGACAGACTGTCAGCTGTGGGTCAGGGTCAGAGGTTTGGGTGCACCGTGGCTAGGATGGCACAGTGGTGGGTGCACGAGATGAAAGCTTATTCCCACGACACAGACCGGAGGCAGAGAGAGCAGGCCAGAGCCCGAAGGTAGACAGAAACATAGAGGGCGGCCCCCACTCATGTAGTCCGCCAACCAGGCCCCACCTCCTAAAGCTCCACAGCCTCCAGCAAGCTGGGAGCCCAGTTCCTAAACCAGGTATAGAGAGATCTTGATTGTCGATCTCATGTAGTGGTTCGGGTGGTCAGATAATTTGGATTTTTGCTTTTTGTGAACCACTGACTTTATTGGACTTAACTAAACAGCATGAATGAGAAGTTACTTATAAGTGCATGGATGACCCCAGAACAGCTACATTATCAAAGACACACCCCATCATAGGTTGCTACCTTGGAGACTCCGCATCATGGAGGCTCTTTTCAGTTAACCTTTCACTGCCTTTTACTTCAGCATCTCCCAAGATCACCTGTTGGGAGGGGAGCTGGAACACGATGTAATAATAGCTAGAATCTAGGTGAGAAGGACCAGGTCCTTGAGTGTCCCCTCCCTCCTCTTGGGAAATGTCAGTAGTCCAGTACCGTCAGCATGTACTTGACCATCACTGTATCAGTTGCTTGCTTCTTTCATTGCTTTGACTGGATCTGGGTACTCGGTACTCCAGATAGTGGTGGTGTGATCATGTTGGACCCAGAGGGGAAAACACCACACTACACCATCTCCATCTCCTGGCTCTTACAGTCTTTCCACCCCTTTTTTCTGAGAGAGGTTTCTTGGAAGAGGTGAGATGTGAAAGATCCCTTTATGAGCATTGACTTGTCATGCTATAGCAACAGTCACTTGTTCTCAGTAATTTAGCCGGTTATGACTCTCTCCCTTCAACACCATAGCTACTGTAAGAAGTTGTCTTCCGCAAGCAAGGGAGACTGGAGCAGTCAGACTGTCGGCTACCTGAGCAGCACCTTGTGTACAACACAAGCCACTGGGGAGGGGGCTTCCTGCTCAGGCCAAGCCAGATTTTTCATCATAAAATGATACTCTTCAGTCTCTAATAAAAAGAACTCTTAATTATAGGTTTAAGAAAAATATTGCTTCCATTAAATAAAAACAATTGTCAGCTTAATGTAGTCTAAATGTCAGTATTTAAGGAAAAGAAGGAGGATGTGGTTCCAAAAAGCCATTTATTTATTAGTGAATGAGAGTCTCACTGGTTAGTTCAAACTGGCCTCAGACTTACTATGTGATGTCAGAGAGGCTCCCAAGTTCTGGGATTACAGCCATGCATCATTACACCCAACTGAACATAAAGCATTTTGAGAGGAAAAATCAGATAGGTATCTTGGAGAAGTGTTAGTTGAAAACTTATTAATTTTATATAGAGAAATTAAAAGATTCCATTTCAATGCCATTTTAAGGTGAATTTTTTTGTTTTTTGAAACGGGTTTTCTATGTATCCCTGGCTGTCCCTGGAGCTCTCTGTAGACCAGGCTGGCCTCCCAAATGCTGGGATTAAAGGTGTATGCCACCATACTTAGCACAGATTCATTTTAAATATACATACAGATATCTTCCTGTCCACGGTGGGGGTATTGGTTTGTCTGTTTTGATATAGAGTCTCACTATATAGCTCTGGCTAGCCAGGAGCTCACTATGTAGCCTAGGCTGGCCTCAAACTCAAGGTAGTCAGGCAGGCTGGGATTACAGAGATGAGCCACTATGTCCCTGTGGGATCCTTTTGGATTATATGTATTATGTCTGTTAAAAATCTTCACATACACCCCTCCCCACCCCACCCCCACACACCGTTAATCTCAGCCCTCAAAAGGCAGAGAGAGACAGGCGGATCTCTGATTCGAGGACAGCCAGGGCTACAAAGAGGAAACTCTAAAACCCTGTCTCAAAAAAAAAAAAAAAATGCAGCCTGTCATGTATGTATATTTTTGTGTTTATTTTTCTCTGTAGGTTCATCTTCTGAATAAGACATGTAGTATCAAAGGATGAATGTACTATATTATAGCTGATGACAAGCTAGCTCTACAAATGGTGGATCTGATTTACATTTTTCTAGAAATAAAAAAGTTGTTAACTGTCTTTGGAAATATTAGCAGTCTTTTGAGCAGAAAGCCATGAAAACATTTTTTCACATTTATGTATATACCCATAGATGACAGTGGAGTTTCACCAAACTTTTCAGTATTAATCTATAAAAAGAAACTATATTTATTTGCATTTCTTTGAATATTAGTAAAAGAAAATATTCATTCTCTGAATTATATGTTTTCTGTTAGGACGTTTGATTTTTTTTTTTTTTTTTTTTTTTGGTTTTTCGAGACAGGGTTTCTCTGTGTAGCTTTGCGCCTTTCCTGGAACTCACTTGGTAGCCCAGGCTGGCCTCGAACTCACAGAGATCCGCCTGGCTCTGCCTCCCGAGTGCTGGGATTAAAGGCGTGCGCCACCACCGCCCGGCTAGGACGTTTGATTTTTAACGAGTCATTAGGGACATTAACTTATTTGTTGTTAATTTTTTCATTTTTCTAGCCTCTGTGTTTTTGCTTTTTTTTCTTTTCATTTTGTTATACAAAAATTTAATCATGTAGTCAAATTTAACAGTATTTTTAGCGTGTGGGGTTTTTTGTTTTTGATTTGTTTTCAGGTATATTTGACCTAGAGGGTTTTGTTTGGTTGGTTTTTTGAGACAGGGTTTCTCTGTGTAGCCCTGGCTGTCCTGGAACTCACTCTAGTCCAGACCGGCCTCTGCTGAGAGTGCGGCATCTAAAGGGTGCACCACCACTGCCTGGCTTGACCCGGGGTTTATAAGGGTGTGAAGAAGAGAGAAGCCAGGGGAAGCAGCTTAATACCTTTGCCTTGGTAGCTTGTTTGTTGGCGTGTCCCGGTGTTCTGACACGATTCCCCTCGTCATCAACACTGGCCTTCGTGGCTGTGGGCAGGGATACCTGTTCTTTAGAGTGAGTTGTAAATTGTTTTGTTTGTTTTCCTTGTGGTGTGCTGAGATTAAACCCACAGCCTAAGGCATTCTTGGTAGGGGTACTACCACTGGGTCACACTCCTCAGCCCCTAGGATGACCTTTAGTGTGTGATAGAACTAAATCACCGTACAACTACAATTTTTTTCACTCCCCTTATATATTCTTCCACGATTATATCTCAAATAACTTTATTATAATATGTTTTGTTCCCAAAAACAATCTTGTCAAACTTTGGTTTGTTTTTAAAAATTGTTCTCTAGGCTGGTCTCAAACACATAAATTGTTCTGTCTCAGCCTCCTGAATAGTTGCCTCCTGAGCAGCTGGAATTACAGGCATGCGTCACTGTGCTGGGCTTTGCCAGGCTTCTGGCTAATACAACATTTAAAAAGGTAAAGTTACCCGTCTTTATCTTTTTTTCTAGACATTTCAGAGCCAAGTATATCACCAGTGACCAGCACTGTCCAGCCCACTTCTACATCAACTCAACAGAAAGAGAAGAAGAAGAAAAAGGAAAAGAAAAAGAAAGACGCTTTGAAGGGTAGATGGGTAGAAGGAGTAACGTCCGATGGTCACTGTTACTATTACGATCTCATCACAGGAGGTACGCTGTGGAAGCACAGAACTACTAGAAAATAGAAAAACACAGCAGTTTTTGTATTGAGATTTTTAGTTAATATTGATTTCATATTGGGATATGTTAAGCAGTGAGAAACTAACTTCCTTTTTTCCATGAAGCTTAGAAAATTGTGCCTTTTGTTATGATGTATACATAATTCCAACATTCAGAAGGATTACCACAAATTAGAGACTAGCATAGTGGGATCCATGCCAGCTTGGGGTACAGAGTAAGACAAAACAAACAAAACAAGACAAAATAAAACAAAAAACCAAAAACTAATAATACCCTGCTTATTGCAAATCAGTGTCATGATTAAAATCTTGTATGTTCCTAGCCAGGCATGGTGGCACATGCCTTTAATCCTAGCACTCAGGAGGCAGAGGTAGATGGATCTCTGTGAGTTCGAGGCCAGCCTAGTCTTCAGAGTGAGTTCCAGGACAGCCAAGCCTATGCAGAGAAACCCTGTCTCAAAAAAATAAAAAAATTATGGGGTAACTCTTGCTAAGAGTTAGCTGTAGTTGTAGCAGCAGACACATCAATAACCCTAGCACTTGGGAAGTAGAAGCAGAAGGGCCAGGAATTTAAAGTTAGCCTTAGCTACTCATCACTTCTGAGCTGCTGTCTTAACATTTGTATCCTTGGCCCAGTGTTGGCAGAATTTATTACTCCATAAGTTTTGGGGTTTTTTAATTTCTGTTTTATATGGGTGTTTTACCTGTATGTAATGTTTGTGCACCATGTGTGTGCAATGTCCACGGAGGAGCAAAGAGGGCATTGGGTCCCCTGGAACTGGAGTTACAAATGGTTGTGAGCTGTCATATGAATGTTGAGAACCAACCAAACCAGGTCCCCGGGAAGAGCCTCTGGTGTCTTAACCTCTGAACCATCCCCCCAGCCCCAGTAGTAATAATTGCTAACAATTTATTTGGTCTGAGTCGTAAGTGAAATGCGTATTGTAGTTCAACAGTAAATCAACCAGAAATAAACACTTGGGATACATCTCATCCACAGCAAGGAGGCATAGGGAGCAAGCAAACTGGGAATGGTGTAGGCTGTTGGAACCTCCAGGTCTCCACCCCAGCAGCACATCTCCTTCAAGAAGGCCACACTTCCTAATCCTTCCCAAATAGTTTCACCAACTGGGGACCAAGTGTTCGGATATATGAGCCTCTGGGGGCCGTTCTCATTTAAACCACAATAGCAAGGCATCTCATAGAAGAGTTAAAGAGCACATAGAGATGGTAAAACAATAACCGACCAAGTAGAAATTCTCTAAACTCTGAGAAAAGTCCTACCCAGCCCTAGTAATTACTGTGGAAGTTTCAGTAACTCTTGACCATGCTGCCGTTTCTTCTCGGTTATGTGACATTCGATACATGTATTCTGTGCAGTACCACTAAGGGTATATGTTGTTTCTTTTATTTTTCTACTTTGTAGTGTTTTGTACATAATAGTGACTATCCTGTGGATTTTTACCTAATTAAATTTGGGGGGCTTGTTTTATTTTAAAGCAAAATTATTTTACAATATATTTTATTTTAAGCATCTCAGTGGGAGAAGCCAGAAGGATTTCAAGGGAACTTAAAAAAGGTAACTATAACATATGTATGGTGTCTTTGCTTTATTCTTTCAAGTGATTGGCTTCTAGGGTGGGCAAGTCCAGGGTTGGGTGGCTGGTGGGGTCTGTGTACCAGGGATTGTGTACCAGGGTTGGGTGGCTGGTGGGATCTGTGTACCAGGGATTGTGTACCAGGGTTGGGTGGCTGGTGGGGTCTGTGTACCAGGGATTGTGTGCCAGGGTTGGGTGGCTGGTGGGGTCTGTGTACCAGGGATTGCTCCAGGGCTTTGTGAACAGCCGGCATTCTACCCCTGAGCTAAACAAATCTGGTGGCTATAGCTCTTTGTGGAATTTTGTTAAGCAAATTTATTTCCAAATAAGCAGTTCTCTTCAACCCCAGCTTGGCCTCTTTCTTCCTATAATCCTTCTGTTAGAAGGCTGGGTAGAGAAGGAACAGGGATAGCTCTACACAAAAACCCTATTCAGGATAAATAGTGTTAGTCAGTTTGTAGTCATTTCTTGTTTACATGTCTGTCCAGCTGGACAGAATTCCTGGCTTTGAGAGATGAGACATTCTCTGTTTGAAAGTTAGTAGTGACTGGAAAAGCAGGCTGTGTTGCATGATCTTTATCACCACTCTCGACTCCCAGGTGCCAGGTGGAAAAGAAAGGATAGCCACATTTGCCTTAGTTACTCAGTAGCTAGCTCGCTGTTGCCATTATTCTCAGTGTGTTCTTTTTTCCCTCCTATTAGGCAGCAGCAAAGGCCATTTGGGTAGAGGGTTTAAGTGAGGACGGCTACACCTATTATTATAATACAGAAACAGGAGGTGAGTGTTATCTTTGATTATTTTAACTTAAACCTGTACCCAAAACTGCATATGAGAGAATATATCATCCAGACTTGGAAACTGTAATATAATAATCATTTCTGTACCAAGTATTATATACTGTCTTTTATAAGGGATACTTAAAAGATTTCTGTTTATAAAATGTACTATGCAACAATGTTACTCTTTTTTTTTTTTTTTTTTAATGGATTTATGCTCACCATATGTGAGCCTGGTACCCAAGGAAGCCAGAAGAAGGCATCAGATTTCCTGGAACTGTATGGATGGTTTTGAATCACCATGTGGGTGCTAGAATTGAACCACCCTGGTACTCTGGGAGAGCAATAAAGATGAACTGTTGGGCTGGGTGGTGGTGACTATGCCTTTAATTCCAGCCTCAGAAGGCAGAGGCAGGTGGATCTCTGAGTTTGAGGTCAGCCTGCTCTACAAAACAAGTTCCAGGACAGAGTTGTTACACAGAGAAACCCTGTCTCAAAAAAAAAAAAAAAAAAAGAATTAACTGCTGAGCCAGTTCTCTATGTCTGCTTAATGTTGTTCTTAATTAAGAAGGCATTTGCAAATTTTAAAAAAGAATCTTTAACTCTCTCTAATATTACTGGGTCTTAGGATTGATTTAATAACTTCCTTTCTAAGTACCTGTGGTTGTCACCTAGTTCAACTTTTGTCGTGGTGAAGATCAAATTTGAGACCTCATGCCTGCTAGCTCATGCTCTCTCATTGAGCTACACCTAGACCTTCACCATTTTCTTCTTTTAAGAAAACAAAACTGGGACTGGAGATAGATGGCTCAGAGGTTGAGAGCACCAGCTGTTCTTCCAGAGAACCCGGGTTCAATTCCCAGCACCCACATGGCAGCTCACAGCTGTCTATAACTCCAGTTCCAGGGGATCCAACAGTCTCACACAGACATACATGCAGGCAAAAAACACCAATACACCTAAAATAACTAAGTTAATTAATTTAAAAAAAAAAAAACTGGAGCTGGAGGGATAGCTCAGCTGTTTAAAGGCTAGACTCACAACCAAAAATATAAGAGTTCAGTTCCCAGCACCCACGGCTGTCCCTCCAGTTACCAAAAAAAGAAAGAAAACAAAACTGAGCTGGATGGTGGTGGCGCACACCTTTAATCCCACTGCTCGAGAGGCAGAGGCAGGCAGATCTCTGTGAGTTCGAGGCCAGCCTGATCTACAAAGTGAGTGAGTTCCAGGACACCCAGAGCTACACGGAGAAACCCTGTCTTGAAAAACAAAACAAACAAAAACCTTGTGTTAGAGATGTTGTTTAATTGATAGAGTGTTTGCCCAGCATGCACAGAGTCCTGGGTTCAGTCTGTAACTAGGAAGATGACTTGTTGGGTAAAGTGCTTGCTGTCCAAGTATGAAGGCCTCAGTTAAAATCTCCAGCACCCACATAGCAAGATGTGGAAGCAAGCACCTGTAACCCTAACACTGGGTGAGCAGAGCCGAGCAAATCCAGGGTTTGTTGGGTGGTCAGTCTAGGTTCAGTGAGAGACAATACCCTGAAAGATAAATAAAGTGGAGAATTGATGGGGAAATGTACCGGAAGTAGTCCTCTAGCCTCTACATGCAAAAGCAGAGGCAAGCACACCCCCACATACATGGACACCTACAGGCATATACCATACACTCCAAAAAAATAAAAAACAGGTGTAATCAAACATGCCTGTAATCCCATGCTGGGTGGAGTCAGGAAGAATGGGTTCAAAGGACATCCTCAGATGGTGAGTCTGGGATACATGAGACCCTGTCACACAAAGAAGAAAAAAGTACAGAAAGTCACAGAGTTTCTCATATAACCATCCTTCAGTTCAGTTTTTGGTATTCCTTTTCTGGCTTTTTGAAACTACCTCAGCCTGGCCTCCAACTCAGTAGTTGGCTGAGAAGGACCTTGAAGTCTTGGTCCTCCTGCCTCTATCTCCCAAGGGCTGCAATTACAGGACTCTGCCACCATATCCAGCTGGTCTTCAGTAAATAATTTTTTTTATTTATTGAATAATTTCTTGTTTCTTATAAATAATTCCTTGTTTCTCCCAGCATATGTCATATGTTAAGGTATATAAACAACAGGACTGAAGAATAGAAAGAACTGGGGGCCCAGATGATATTAAAACCTGACCACGTTTGTGTTGATGTTTATGACTATGAGCAATGAAGTAATGTTGCCATTTGGGTAGTTGAAGTTCCTTTAATGAAATACTCTCAGGTTTCTCAGCCAGTACCATTGGGTGTCCTTCTGGTCAGTCCTCACACTTAACTTGCTGCCATCAGCCTGGCTCTTGTCTGTGTTTCTAATTCTTATTACCTAGAGCCCTATAGTACGCGTTTTAAAAAGAAATGGCCTTTACACTTTCAAACAGATACGCATTCTGCCCAGTGAGAGCAGTGTTTCTGTACCATGGAAGTGAAGTACTGGGTCTTTATAGAGATCATATAGCCTGTCAATATGATAGGACTTTATAATAATACAAACCTAACTTGGGCGCACAGCTTCTTACCAGTGAAGTCACTGAGCCTGTCGTCATTCTTCAGAAATAGAACGTGTTCTCTGGGGTTGGGAGGAGTTTACCCTGATCAGTGCAATTAGTAGCCACTCTCACTCTTGTTTATTTGTTAAGACAGGGTCTTATTTAAGACAGACCTGGCTGGTCTGGAATTCACCAAGTAGACCAGGCAGGCCTTGAACTCACAGAAATCCTCCTGCCTCTGTCTCCTAGTCTCCTTCACTCTTAAAATTGTCTCAATTGGGTAACAAATTGTATAGTTTCTCTCCTTTTCACTAAACTAAAAGTAGAGACAAGACAATTAGAAAGACTTGAATGTCTCTAGAAGCCCAGTGAACAATAGATGGCAGTGGAGTTCAGCCAGTTGGGATTCCTTCACTGTGAAAGTCATGTATTCAGTTCATCACAATTGCAAGAACTCAGGCAATCTTTGTGACGAGTTTCAGGAAATGTTCTGTAAAGTCATTATCAGTATCTTTCTTGAAATTGTTTTCAGGTAAAATGAAGATTTTTAAAACTATCACCCACTTCCCAAGCTCCTCATCTAGGGTTTATGAGTTAGTAAATGCAGATTGTCCTAAGTTTTCTGAACAATAAAAAAATGAGAGGTTTTTGAGCTCTTTTCTTGATAAAGTGTGTATGTGTGTGTATGTATATATAATGTATTACTTAATAATTGTACATGATAAAAAAAAGTGTTGTATTGCTAAATAAGTAATACAGTTATTAAAATGTGTTGAGCAGAATCCAAATGGGAAAAACCTGATGATTTCATTCCACACACTGGTGATGTGCCGTCTAGTAAGGACAATGAAAAGTCACCTGACACCCTAGAAGACTCCAAATCGTCAGATTCTCACAGTGATTCTGATGGCGAACAGAAGAAAGCAGGAGAGGCCTCTGTGGAAACGAAGAAACTAATAATAAAGTTTAAGGTAGGTTCTTGCTTCACTTTTTATAGACATTTGTCAGGTTTATCTTCCATGGTTTCTTTTACTCCTGGCCAACTCATAGCCAAAAATAGGAAACAGGAAATCTAGAAAAAGTGATTCATAGTTTTTAAATTGTATGTTCTCCTGAATGTCATGATGAAATCTGTTGGAGTGTATTTAGGCCTGTGTCCATTGGTGATCTTGAAATGAATCACTCAAAGTAAGGGTGAGGTCAACTGTATTTGCATTTGGATAAATGATTGTACCATTTATCCTTCAGAACCTATTTTAAACTCTCTAACTTTTTTAAAGATGGGACCTCAATATGTAGCCCTGACTGGCCTGGGACTCATTATGTAGACCAGGCTTGGCCTCAAATTGCCAAGAGCTCTACCTGCCTCTGCCTCAGGAGTGCTAGGATTAAAGCATGTGCCATTTATTACACCTGGCCTTAAACCTTGTAACTTTAAGAAGCTCCAGTGACATTCAGAAAGCTGATTGGCCAGTGACAGACTAGAAACAGAAAGGCTAATAAGTAGGAACTACTTAGCAGTACTTTAAGTCTCAGTGTGGGTGAGCTAGCTAAGAAGAATAACTGGACAATAAATATTCATTTAAGTTCACTTGTGGTGGGGGTGTGAGGACAGATGTGGGGGACAAGAGGTGTTCCAGAAGGCCATGGAGAATGCATCAAGAGTTAGGTCTGCTGTGCTGGAGAGGTGGCTCAGCCGTTAAAGATGCTTGCTTCTAAGCCAGAGGACGTGAGTTCTAGCTCCAGGACCCCATGTTGGAAAGAGAGAACTTACTGTCTCCCACATTAGCGTCTGACCTTTATACCCTAGTCAAACCTCATCCTCCACACACCCCACCCCACACACAAATGTACGCATATACACACACATACATGGTCAAGAACGTGCACAAAACCTGGAAATGAAACAACAAAAAACAAAGTAGTTGGGTGGTGTGTGTGTGTGTGTGTGTGTGTGTGTTTTAAAAGGGCTATGGGGATGGCTCAGCAGTAAGGCACTTGATGGCCTGAGTTTAGTCCCTGAGTCCCACATGGTAGAGGCAGAAGGAAAGAATTGACTCCTACAAGTTGTCCTTTGACTTTCATGCTTATCAACACACACACACACACACACAAATAGTAAAAATGAAATTTATAAGAAGTTGTTTTTTTTGTTTTTTGTTTTTTTGAGACAGGGTTTCTCTGTGTAGCTTTGGAGCCTGTTTTGGATCTCTCTCTGTAGACCAGGCTGGCCTTGAACTCACAGAGATCCGACTGCCTCTGCCTCCTGAGTGCTGGGATTACAGGTGTGTGCCACCACTGCCCGGCAAGAAGTTTAATTTTCTTTTTAAGGAAGTGGAAAAGGAGGAAAGAAGTTTGTCCATTGAATGTACCAGTTAGGAGTTCTCAGTGCCCTTTTAAAAGGTCGACCAGCTGTTTTGAGTAGCAGAACTCATAGGGAGTAAAAAAGTAGTTTATAGTTTAGGTATGATTTGGCTAAGACATTAAAAAATAGAAGTTGAGCACTCACATTTAATCACAGCACTTGGGAGGTAGGCAGACAGATCTCTGAGTTTGAGGCCAACTGGCCTATATACCAAGTTCCAGGCTGGCCAGGACTACATGGTGACACCCTTTCTTTTAAAAAAGAAAATGGATTGAAACCTGATGGCTAAGTATTGACTGTGATAGACTTTTAGAGGGAATCCAAAGAAAGAAGAAAAGACAATAAGAAGAGGTGGGTAGATTGGTCTTGAATAAAAAATAAACTCATTTCATAAGAAGGTTAGCTTTTTGTTTTCTATGAGGAGTATGACTCCAAAAAATAGGAACCAGGAAAAAAATGAAGTCATCATGCCGTTTATTTATATTTTTGAATATTATTGTGTATGTGTGTGGTTGGGACGTACTTCTAGAAGTCAGAGGACGACTTTGGAGTCAGGTCTCTCCTTCCACAATTATGTGCTTATTAGGTTTCGTCAGCTTGACACAAGCTAGATTCACCCAGGAGGAGGGACCTTCAGTTGAAGATATGCCTTCCCCATTGTGGCCTAGCTTTATGGTGTTTTCCTAATTGCTGATTAATGAGGGGGCAGGCTCAGCTCTCTGTGAGTAGTGGCACCTCTTGTTTGGTGGTCCTGGGAGGTCTAAGAAGTAGGTAACCATGAACCTGGGGACAAGCTAGTAGGCAGCTTTCTTCCATGGTTCCTGCCTGACTTCCCTGGGTGATCAGCTGTGAATGGGACATAGAAGCCCAGTAAGCCCTTTCCTCCCCAAGTTGTTTTTGGTCATGATTTATCAAAGTAAACTTTACCACTGCCTGTGAGGGGCCAGCCTCCAGGCAGCACGAGGGTATGCAGAAAAATCCACAAATGCAGTGAGGGCGAGACTTTTTCTATCAAAGGGGTATTAGGAAGAAAACACTCACGCATTCTGATGGTAATTTTCTCTTTTACTTCATCTTAAAAAGTCTCTTTCTGGAAATCTGTCTCCACACAGCTATATTCTTTACATACAGCTGTATCTCTCTCTTTAAATACATACATCTCTTATATTTTTGGTTGTGAGCCTAGCCTTTAACGGCTGAGCCATCTCTCCAGAGATGGCTCAGAGGTTAAGAGCACTGACTGCTCTTCCAGAGGTCCTGAGTTCAATTCCCAGCAACCACATGGTGGCTCACAACCATCTGTAATGAGATCTGGTGCCCTATTCTGGCCTGTAGGCATACATGCAGGCAGAACACTGTATACATAATAAATAAATAAATCTTTAAATACATACATCTCTTCTTGCACAGCCATGTATTTCTATATACAGTTCCATCTCTTTATTACATAGCTCCACAACTCTCTTGTGCACACATTTCTTCTCTCTGCTCTGCTACATTCCTTCACACACTACTAGACCATTCCCTCACTCTTTACTCTCTCACTCTCTCACTCACTCACACTACTCTCACACTTCTTACAGCTCTCTCACTTCACCTCTGCACACTCAGCTACATCTTCTCTTCAGCACACACACACACACACACACACACACACACACACACACACGTACTCTTAACAGCCAAACTCTGGACAATTATAAGTTACATATACAGGGTCCGACCCATTCTCATAACACATGATAAGTCACACGGTTCCTTTCAGGCTAGGGAGGTCACACTGACCAGCCAGTGAGTAACACTTGGTCGTGCACATAGCTGTAAGTGGTCAGGGTTCCCAGACAGAAGATGACATTGAAATTGAGGACTTACACAGTAAACAGTTGGCTGAACCTCGAGTGGTAGGGGTACGTGCAGAAAGTCAGTTACTGCAGGGTTATGTCTACCAAAGTTGCTTCGTTCATGTCTGACCTTGATTCAGCAATAAACACCTGGGAACTTGTCTCTGCAGGGGTAGCTAGTCTGTTTTGAATTTGTTCTAAAGTCTAAAATTAACTGTCTTTGTGACTGAGAATACTGTTGCTTTCCTGGGTCAGTTATAAAAAATACTCTAGTAGTATTTTTATTCGTCAGAATTATACAACTTAAGCAGAAATCATCTTCCTGACCATCCACAGCTATAAGTGTGCCCAATAGATGGAATACATACATGAGATAAACATACAAGCAGTGAGAAAACACCCATAGCTGTTTTTAGGGAAGAAATGTAGTGGCACATGAGATAGATTACGGACAGGAACAACTGGTCATTTGCAGTCAGTGACCCCACGGTCCTTGCCAGTGGGGCTTCCCATCAGAGTTATTCATCTGGTGGGTCCACCTGTTGAACACTAGTTGTCACCTGCTGTATATTCCCATGGCTTCAAGCAAAACTAATACATGTGGATTCTAGTAATTGAACTGTTATTTAAGCTTATGTGGTAAATGTCCTTACCCTCTGGGCCCTCTTACTGACCTTTACCTTTACCTTTTAGCCTAAGTTGTCTCATTTCTAAAGAAGTGAATATTATTAAGAATAAGGAGCTTTGCCGGGGTTGGTGGCACACGCCTTTAATCCCAGCACCCAGGAGGCAGAGCCAGGCGTATCTCTGTGAGTTTGAGGCCAGCCTGGTCTACAGAGCGAGATCCAGGACAGGCACCAAAACTACATAGAGAAACCCTGTCTCAAAAAACCACACACACACACACACACACACACACACACACACACACACACACACACAAATTAATTAATTAATTATTAATTAATTATAAATAAATGATGTGAGGATGGTTTTCTGCTTGTTTGGGGTTTTTTGGGGGAGGGTATTTTTTATTATTAAGACAAGGTCTCTAGCCCAGTCTGGCCTTGAACCCCTTCTGTGGCCAAAGATGACCTTGAACTTCTGATCCTCCTGCCTCCACCTAAATGATAGAATTACCATAATATACCACCTGCCCAGTTTATGCTGTGCTTGTAATTGAACAACCCAGGCCTTCTGCATGACAGGCAAGCACTCCACTCTCTGAGCTGCATCCCCAGACCACAGTTCAATATTTTAATACTAGGTGCCTGAAACAGTGAAGGTCAAGATCATTGATTTTGGAGCTAACCAAAGTGAAAGCCAGAGGATTTATTATGAAAATCATGTCTGGGGATGGGGAAGCATGTACCTTCCATCCCAGCACTTGGGAAGCAGAGGCAGGCAAACTCTCTGAGTTTGAAGCCAGCTGATCTACACAGGGAATTCCAGGTCAGCCAGGGCAACACAGTGAGACCCAGTCTAGGGAAAAGGGAAGAAGAAAATCATGTTGCTGAGCATGGTGACATATTCTGTTGGTCTTAGTACTTGGAAAGCTAAGATGGAAAAATTAGAAGTTCAGGTCCAGCCTAGGCTACATAGGGGAGGGGTTAAGAGCCATTTGTAGAATACAAAAGAGATTCCAAGCAAGCTACCCATTGATGTTTAATTTGCAAAGAGGCTGAAACCCAGTGCAGGTGTAGTGGACACACTAAAGTGTGGGAAATGGGTTAGAGGGCTTTCTTAGCCCAATGAAGATAATGTCATAAAGAACCAGCCCCAGGACTTCTGTGGGGACTGCTTCTGTCCCAAGGGGGAGTTATTCTAATCCCACCCCTCCCACACCCCCGAGACAGTTTCTCTGTGTAGCCCTGGCTGTCCTAGAACTTACTCTGTAGACCAGGCTGGCCTTGCACTCACAGATACTCTCCTGCCTCTGCTTTCAGAGTGCTGGTAAAAGGCATACACCACCACTACCTTTATGTACCGTCATGGTACATTTTTTTAAAAGCATCATTAAACATAATGCATTAAAGTTTTATACATAGTGAAAAACCTGATTAAGTTCTTCCATGTACATTTATTGTGTTATGTGAAAACTTAAACCATTAAGTGAATGGTGATGATGATTATTATTATTATTATAAGACTTTCTAAAAAAGTTAAAGAAATTTGGGGATTGACTACTGCTGTTTTACTTGAAGTGTGTTGTTTATTGGCCTTTGCATTTCAGGAAAAAAATAAAAGTACTGAGAAAAAAACTGACCCAGAAATACAAAAAGAAAAAAGTACCCCAAAACAGAATCCATCAAATACAAACGAAGAAAAATCCAAAACTCTTAAGAAATCAACGAACCCTTATGGGGAATGGCAAGAAATTAAACAAGAGGCTGAGTCTCAGTAAGTACCCGAGAGGTCATCCCACTGCTGTGTCCAAGCACCTCAGCACATTGCACTCAAGAATCTCAAGTATTCTGTGCTCCTTAGAAGTGTAGCTTTCTTACATTTCTAGAATATTTTTTCTTTTTTTTCTTTTTTTTTTTTTTTTTGGTTTTTCGAGACAGGGTTTTTTTATTTTAAAAGATGAAACAGTGATTGTTTTAAAACAAGTTAGTGATTTTTTTAAGTGATTGTTTTGTTTCCTACCAAAGTATGACCACATTCATACTCTCATCATTTTTTATCAAAAAAAAAAAACAAATACTTGCAGTAAATACTTTGTAAGATACTTTAGCTATAGAATGTGTTTAAAGGCAAAGAAAAAGCTTTTGCTCTCTTATTCTCTTGAAGTATCTTACTGTACTTGACAGTGTTTTTTTATATGAGTGTAGATTTTGTTCTGGTTGGTTTGTTGATTGACTGGTTTGATTTGGTTTTTTTGAGTCTGATGTAGCCTCAGGCTAGCCTTGAACTCCTGATCTGGCCCCACCTCATGGGTGCTAGTACTAACAGGTGCATACTACACCTGGCTCTTCACTGCAGAGTTTTGGTTTTTTTTTTTTTTTTTTTTGGTTTTTCGAGACAGGGTTTCTCTGTGTAGCTTTGCGCCTTTTCCTGGAACTCACTTGGTAGTCCAGGCTGGCCTCGAACTCACAGAGATCCACCTGGCTCTGCCTCCCGAGTGCTGGGATTAAAGGCGTGCGCCACCACCGCCCGGCACACTGCAGAGTTTTTAAGCTCAGATTCCCATCAGCAGAGGAGTTGGTTATTGGTGGCCTTGGGGTCCAGCTCCGAAAGCCACCTCCAGGGTGTAGGGCAGAAGCCACAGTGAAGTGAAAGGAACTTAGATTTTTCTGATCTGAGGGTTACGGAAAAACTCACATACGTGCTGTTCCAGTCCCACCTCTTTATTGTTCTACCCTAGTTCTAAATCTTCTCAGCTCTCCCCCCATCTCCCTACATACATTTACCACAAACTTTTTGTGATGAAAAAGGTAGAAAGGCTAACTCTGAGGGGGAGGGTAACCATGGCAATGCCCATTTTCAAGGTTCCTAGTGTAAGACGTGCCCTGAAGCCGGGGCAGAGTGCCAGATGAGACAGGCTGCAGAGAGGTCTGCACAGAGGGCCGGGTCTTATCAACCAGACTAGCAATCAAAGAACTGGCATCGTATCTTGCATTGCTTTGTGTTAGTAACCTTGGTTAGACGTCTGCAACTCTGACCTTGTGCATCTCTGTGAAGTTTTTAACTTATGATCCATTTACAGAAACATTCAGTCTAGTTTGAAACTGCTCCGAGGTTTCAGATCAGCAAAATGTATGTAGCTTGTTGTAGACTGGGGAGAAATTGTTGTTTTCTCATGTTAGTCTGCGCTAAAGGAACAAAGCAGGTTCCTACGTGTCTGTAGTCTCTGTGGGACAGCAGACCCAGCCGTGAAGCACGTCCTAACATATCCTCCATCTGTCAGAATTACACAGCCCAACGAGAAGTCATCTTCCTGACCACCCACAAGTATATGTGCCCAGAGATGTAAAGCACATCCCCAGTGGGCTGTGGAAAGAACCCCACAGCTGTTCTTTGTGGGGAGGTAAAATGGTGGCACATGAGAAAGCTACAGACAGGAAACAACCAGTCGTTTACAGTCAATGATCCTCACGGCCTTGCCAGGTGGGGCTCCCCATCAGGGAGTCACTGTCTGGTGGGTTGACCTTCCAAACACTAGTTGTCACCTGTTGCATACTGCCGGTGACCTCTGGTAAAGCCCATTGTCTCTATAGTTTGTCCACAGTTTAACACAATTGTGCTAAAGATGTTACCTGATTTGTTTTACTGGTTTAACTGCCTAAATGAGTTTTCTTTTTAGAGGCATTTATTTTACCAGCTAAGTAAAAATCACTCCTTGGCATTCATTTTAGTATTTTTTTAAGCCTTTGAAGGAACCTTCCAGGTGAAGGGGGAAAGGTATATGGGTAAAGTAGATATTCTTTAAAACACTGCTTTGGAAGGATAGTGTAGGATGGATGCTTTTTATGTACTTTTATAGTGAATTAGTTCTTATTAAAATTCTTGGCTGAGGGTGGGGTGCACATCTATAGCACCTTGGGAAACAGAGGCAAGATTGTCTTCAAAAACATGGGCTAGAGTGAGATTCCTATCTCAAAAAGCTATCAAAACCCAAACTACACCCTGCTTTTTCATGAGAAGGCTGTACTTTCTTCATCGTAGAATAGTACAAGTACTGGGCAACTCTGTATACCATGCTTTACTCCCCAGCTATGACAAGCACATTGATACCTATCCACGGGAGTTACTGGAGTAAGAGACCAGTCCATTCTCTTCAGTTCTTGTCACTTAAATCAGGAGGATGGTTTTACACCCACTTATGTCTAATATGAGAAAGGATTTGGGGTGGACAAAAGGACATCTGATCCATGAGCAAGGAGAAGAGACTGGGGGAAGAGGTTACCTCAGGAGCGTGAGGCAGCAGGAGAGGGAGGGAGCTGAGGGAAGGCGGAGCTGTTGAAAGCACGCTTTGTTCAGAGTGTTAGCGTCATGTCTAATAAATACCTTGTATGTTGAGTTAACATTTCTTCAGTTAAAAAGTAAGAAAATTGTCCTAAGTCAGCATCTCCTATTTCAAAATTGATATGGCTTTCTAATGCTAATTAAATTTCAGGCTAACTAGGCCATAGCAAGCTTTCTTGTCGGATTATCTTTGGACCACCAGTCTGCAAATAATGACCTGGGGACCTATTACTAATTATGAAAGCTTGGCCTTAGCTTAGGCTTTTTTTCCAACTGGCTGTTATAACAACATATTTTTTAGTCTACGTTCTGCCACATGGCTCGGTTACCTCTTCTTGGTACAGCACATCGGACTTGCTCTGAGTCTGCTGGTGAAATCGCACACCTATATTCCTCCTCCCGGTTCCTCTCTCTGCCTGGAAGTCCCACCTATTCGCTCCTGCCTAGCTATTGGCCTTTTAGCTCTTTATTAAACCAATCAGAAGGCACCTTAGGCAGAAACACCTTTACAGTGTAAAAAAAAAAAAATCCGAAACACCAGGCAGTGTTAATATGTGATGGATTGTTTCCAGCTTCGTAAGTAGATTAACGGAGTTTCTTTTTTTTTTCTTTATTTTCTTTCTTTCTTTATTTAGATTTTTCAAGTAGATCAGACTGGCCTCAAACTCACTAACCTATTTTAAATTAAATTAAATTTAAATTTACTAACAGCTAAAACAGTCCTGGTTAGCTTTTATCATGGACCGGCTCTTACTCCCAAGCTCATCACTAGTAATTCTGAGTGAACATACCTGAACTCAGTGGTTCCTAAAGGAAAGGCTAATAAAACAAATGCTGATGCTGGGAAGAAGAGAACAGATGTTACAGAAGAGCCAGGGTACGAGGAGAGTATTTCTACTGCAGCTGCCTCATGCAGCGTCTGGTGTACACAAGACACCAAGTATAGCTATCATAAAATAAAAATAAAAGCTTTTATTTATTTAAAGATTCCTTACGTTGTTATGGGTACTTAGTGCTCTTGGAGAGGACCTAGGTTTGGTTCCCAACATCCACGTGATAACTAACAACCAACTGTAACTCTAGTTCCAGAGGATCTGACATCTCCTTCTGACTTCTGTGGACACTTCACACATGTGATGTCCAGACATACATGCAGGCAAAACATCTGTCACACATAAAATAAAAATAAAATCTACAGGGGGGAGCACATTGTTCAAACAAATGCGATTCTTCATCTCCCCTCTCCGCCTTTCTCTGTTTGCCTGCTTTATTCTCTATCTACTGAATATGATGATCTTCCTCCTCTGTCTTCAGGAATCTCATGGGTGGATTTGATGAGCCAGCTCTTTCAGAGGCTAGTTGACTATCTAGGGCAGTGATCCTCAATGTGCGGGTCATAACCCCTTGGGGGTCGCATGACCCTTTCACAGGGGTCGCCTAAAACCATTGGAAAACACAGATATTTACTTAAGATTCCTAACAGTAGCAAAATCACAGTTATGAGGTAGCAAGGAAAATAATTTTATGATTGGGGGGTCACCACAACATGAGGAACTGTATTAAAGGGTCACAGCATTAATAAGGTTGAGACCCACTGGTCTAGGGGAGAGGGTACTGGTGGGCTCATGTTAAGCAGGGAACTGATTTCTGGTCCAGCCAGATTGTTTGTGACTTACCACGTGGATAGTTGGAGGGCTAGTTCTCAGAATAAAAAGATGCTAGGCAAATAGTTCAATGAGTCTTCCACAATAGGACATTAAGATTCCATTCTTTCCATCTTGTGTTATGTAAACCTTCAGAATCTCTGTCAGTCCATGGCAAAATCGGTCTCCACAGCTTCCCTGTTTCCTGTTTATGCTCCATGTCATGTATGAGCAGAGTGTTTTCTAAGATGCTGTGTCCTTGATGCAGCAGAAATAGAACAAATGAGACCTGTCCTGGCACATGTCCACCTCAGTCAGAGTTCAATGTGTTGAGACTAAAATCAGTATTTTAAATCACCTAGAGCTAGGCAGTACACACCTAACCCAGGACTGGAGGTCTGGCGGCCAGAGGCCAGAGGCTCAGGAACTCAAGGTGACATTAGGGGCTGCAAGGTTAGCCAGGACTACATGAGACCCTGTCCCAAAAAAGCCAAAACAAGACAGCCTAGTGTCCCCGGTGACCAGCTTCTGATCCATTGAGAAGGTGCTCATGGTGCTTCACTGGCTCGTGGTCTATATCCAATATTTATCTTAATCTGTCAGGTTAGAGTTTAGTTTTCTTTCTGTTCCAGGGAAGAGGTCGATTTGGAACTTCCAAGCACTGAGAGTGAGTATCTGTCAACTTCAGAAGCCGCTGCTGGAGAAATCAAAGTGGTATTTAAAGAAAAAACAGTCTCTTCTCTGGGAGTTGCAGCGGATGGGGTGGCTCCCGTCTTCAAAAAGAGAAGAATTGAAAATGGGAGATCTCGGAATTTGAGACAGCGAGGTGACGATGAGTGACTGTAAAGCCTTTCCTTCGACTGCTGTGGACAGAGGAGACGTGCCCTTTCCAAGCTTCTCTGTGTTTTGAGTACTATAGTGCTGCAGTTTACATTTATGCTAAGTGTATTTTATGTGAATCAAAATAAATCTTTTCATGTGAAATTTATTTTTGTTCCTTAAATGGAAGCCTACCACATTGCATTGTAATACAGTGTATTATGTTCAATGTCTAAAATTGCTAACTATATGATAATTTAAGATGCTATGTATCTGTTATTTAAAACATGGGGAAGACTCTTGCTCTGTTCTTCACTCATATGAGCATACTTGTCCTGCATTGAAAATGCATTCTTTCTGCACACTGAAATTAACCTGTTACCTAAGAAATAAGAATCAGACACAGAAGTGCACAGCCGCATGGCAGTTTGGTTTTGATGGTCCTTTGCAGCCTGGATGTAGAAAAGTTGACATATCAAGTTAAGACCAAAGAGCAGAAGCAGGAGCCACTCAGGTACTAAAGTGCAGAGCGACAGCTGGACCAGGCGTAGAAAGCTGCCCTTGCCCCAGGCCAGCTTACAGCAGCAAACTGTGGAAGCAGTTGAACTTGGGGCCGAGTATCAGGGAACTGGAGGTAGTGCAGCTTCTGCCCTTCGCTTTCTAGAACAGTCCTTGCCCAGGCAGGCACTTTTCATAGCCCTGGATCCATTGGAAAGTTTAAGGTAACAGACAAAAGGCTTGAACTAAAACAGATTTCATGGTCCACTTAGATGTTGCCCATTTTCTGGTTACATTTCTTAAGTAGAAATCTCATATTCTATTTGAAGTACTTCCCTTTATTACTTTTGCATATTTTTAATTATATTTTTCATAAGTTGTACAGTATGTAACTTTTGGTAGCAAATATTTGTCTTTTTACAATTGCTAGTGTATATGTAAGAATAGCTTATTAAAAATCATAAAAAAGTAAATACTGGGGTCATTTTTTCTCTAATATGGATCAAAGTTGCCTTATCATTGGCAAAATAATATTTAGAGATTAATCTTTGCAATTATTCAGGCCTAAACTTTCTATTTTGCAGCATTTTTAATTTTATTTTGTGAAAAGAGTCTTGCTGTGTTGCCTAGGCTGACCTCAAGTCCAGATCCTCAGGCCTAAGAGTATTCAAGAGTCCTGAAATTAACAGGTGTACCATCACACCTGAATGTTTGGTAGTTGAGTTATTGTTCTTTGACTGGGGTGGCCAAGGGTTGAGTCAGGGTCTCCCTATGTATCCCAGGCTGCCTTCAAACTTGCAATTACCCCCCTGCCTAAACCTTAGTGCTGGGATTGCAGGCATGAGCCAACAGACCCCACTGGTTTACTGGGTTTGGGGGGTTTGGTTTGTTGGGGTTTTGTTTTTGCTTGGTTAGTTTGGTTTGAGTTTTGTTTTTGTTTGGTTATTTTTTGAGACCCTCCTATCTCCCTAGGTAGCTTGGCTGAAGATGACCTTCTGAACTTACCCTCCTGTCTTCCACTTCCCCAGAGCAGGGGTTGTAGGTGTATGTTATCCCTCCCGGTTTCTATGGTGCTGGATTGTGTTGGGCAAGCACCAACTGAACCATAGTCTACCCCTGCTTTGAAATTTTGATAGGTCATTTGCCATGTAGCTGAGGAGTTTATATTATTAGTCCTTGACTCTTCTCAATGGGAAAAGACTAAAAGTTGAATGCTTTTATGCTTCGTCCACATTTAGCTCCTATAAAATGCAATACTGACGATATTTGTTAAATTTGTTTTTATTTGTTTCTTCTAAGACAGGGTCTCAACGGTGTATCCCTGGCAGACCTGGAACTCTATAGACCTGGCTGGCACTTGGTGAGCCTACTTAACTCGGCCTCCCAAGTGCTAAGATTAAAGGCATGTGCCACCCTGGCCCCAGGGTGGTTTTGAGGAGTGGTGGAGTCAGTGTATTTATAAGGCACTTGGGGCAATGCCTGTCAGATAGAAGCTCAAACTCATTTACAATTAATACTCAGAATATATACAGATGGACACAAAGGAAAAATAAAACCTAAAAGGACCAAATTCCTACCCACCAGTACCATGACTCAGTCCTTTTTCCTTGTCCTGCCTCTCTTTGATGGCCAGCTTTCATATACAGTCATATCGAGGGATCAGTATGCTTCACTTTACAGCAGCAAATAAAGCGATTGACTGTTAGCATCAAAATTCACTGGATTGTGGTGGTACTGATGGGTATACAGTGTGAATGTACTTGTTATTGTTCAGTTATTGAGTGCTTACCTACCACTCCTAACACCCTGGGTCAATCCCCAGTACACACACACGCACAGAGAGTGTATCTAGTGATACTCAACTGTATATGGACTAGAGAAAAACTTCTCAGGAAGACCTTAGTTCACGTACAGAGCCCCCTTTTAAAAGTACCAGCTGTAGCCGGGCAGTGATGGCACATGACTTTAATCCCAGCACTTGGGAGGCGGAGGCAGGTAGATCTGAGTCCAGAGTTCAAGACCAGACAGGTCCATAGAGTAAGTTCCAGAACAGCCAGGGCTACACAGAGAAACCCTGTCTTGAAAACCAAAAGCCATTTGTGGTGGTTCACTCTTTATATTTTCCTACCATTATATCTATTGTGTGCTTTTTTTATTTTACCTTTTTAAATTTAATTTTTAAAATTTTGTGTGCATGTGTGTTTGCCACATCCTTGTAGGTACCCAAAGAGGTCCAAGAGGGTGTTGGATTCCCTGAAGCTGGAGTTACAGTTAGTTGTAAGCAGCCCAATGTGGGTGCTGAAAACCAAATTCCTTTTTTTTTTTTTTTTTTTTTTTTTGGTTTTTCGAGACAGGGTTTCTCTGTGTAGTTTTGTGCCTTCCCTGGAACTCACTTTGTAGACCAGGCTGGCCTTGAACTCACAGAGATCCACCTGCCTCTGCCTCCGAGTGCTGGCATTAAGGCATGCACCACCACCACCCGCCCCAAACTCCTTTAGAAGAGCAGCAAGCTGTTTTAACCACTGAGCCATTTCTGAAACCCCTCAAGTATTTGGGTTGTTTGTTTGTTTGTTTTAAGGAAAGTTTTATTTTGATTGGGGGATGAAGTATGTGTCTGCCACAGCATTCCTATGGAAGTTCTTTCCTTCCCTCATGTGGGTTCCAGAGATCAAACTTGGATTGAGGACTGAACTCAGGTCATCAGGTTTGGCAGCAAATACCTTCAACACTGGGCTATCTCACCTGCCCCTCATCGTGTGTGTGTGTGTGTGTGTGTGTGTGTGTGTGTGTGTATGTGCTGTGTGTGTGTTTCTGTGTATACATGCATATATTTGAGCGTAGGCTCTCACATGCCGTAGCACACACGTGAAGGTCAGAGGACAGGCATGTGCATTGATCCTTGTCTTCCATCTCCTTTTAGACAGTCTCACGTTTGCCTCTGTATAAAGCAGGCTACCTGGCCCCTAAGCTTCCTGGGACTCTTCTGTCTCCTTTCCTTGCTGGAGGAGTGCTGGGATTTCAGACTTGTACCTCACATCTGGCTTCATGTAGGCTCTAAGAATTCAAACCCAAGTTCTCAGCCTTGTGTGACAAGTGCTTTATACACTGAGCCATATTTCCAGCCCCAGGGCCCACCTCTTAAGGCATTAGCACCTCCCAACAGCTGGCAACTAAGCCATTAATACATTGGCCCTAGGGGCATAGCCAAGCCATAGCAACAAACAAGTGTTTGGGTCCACATCTCCAAACCCACATATCCAATGGGTATATATCCAGCAGTGGAGTTGTAAAATCAGGTACTATTAGCATTGGCATTTAGAGGAATATAGCATGACTCTTAATAGTTCTTATTAATAAGATCAAACCCGAGGCCAGTTATTAGGGTGAATACTGGAAGATCAGAGAGACAGAACAAGCCACAGCTACCTCACCTGGCCAACTTCTCAGCTGGTCTTGTTTCCTCAGACCTCTGAGTCCTCATCCAGAATGGGTCTCAGCTAAACTGCTGCTAGAAGCCTGAATGCTTAACCAGCCAAATGCTTCTAGTTTCTGGTCCTCACACCTTATATATCTTTCTGCTTTCTACCACCCCTCCCTGGGATTAAAGGCGTGAGTCACCATGCTTGGCTGTATCCTTGAACACATGGATTTCTGCCTCTGGAATGCTAGGATTAAAGGCGTGTGCTACCACTGCCTATCCTTTATGTTTAATATTGTGGCTGCTCTGTCTCTGACCCCAGATAAGTTTATTAGAATGCACAATATTTGGGGGAATACAATACCACAGAGGAATTCCAAATGTTTTCACTAGTGGCTGAATTTGTGTGTGTGTGTGTGTGTGTGTGTGTGTGTGTGTGTGTGTGTGTGTGTGTATGTGTGTGTATTTCTACCAATACTTCATAGCCTCATTCTACTGGATACTTTCTGTTTATCCCAGTACCATCTACTGGTCTTTTCCCATAGAATTGGCTGACCCTCTTATTAAAAAATTATTGATGCACAAACCTGATGAGTTAGTTGAGTTTGATCCCTGGAACCCACAGAGAAAACTGACTCCCAAAAGTTGTCCTTTGATCTCCACACTGCACACTATGACACTCACATTCATATTCTTTATCTCTGTCTCTCCCTGACTCTGTCTCTCTGAATTTAAAATAGAGCAAAGAGGGCCATATGGGAGGGCTTGGAGGGAGGAAAGGGAAAATTATGTAATTATAATGTCAAAAAAATAAAAGTAATTTAAAACACACACAAAAATTAAAGTAGCCAGGGGTTCTACTACCACGGTCTGCAGTCTCTACACCCATTTCTGTGTATTGCCTTCTCATCTTTCATTCTGTCCTCTTGAGTCACCATCCTCCCAAAAGATGTTATTAAGTATAGCAGCTATGAGACGGCCCCAGCAGGAAAGGTGTGTGCCGTGCAAGCCTGGCACACAAGTTTGGTCCCTGGAACTCATGGTGAAAGAGAAGAACTGATTCCATAAACCTGTCCTCTGACATTCACATGTACACTGTGACACGCACACATCTGTACATCATACACAATAATAAAATAGAGAGAAGGTGAGAGGGAGGGAGGGAAGGAAGAAGGGAGAAGGAAGGAGGGAAGAAAAAAGGAAAGGAAGAAGGAAGAAAGTGGGGGGGGTGCTGGGAAGATGTCTCAGGAATTAAGAGCATTTACTGTTCAGAATTCCCAGAACCCACATGTCTGCTAACAACTGACACTCCAATGCCAGAGGATCCGATGCCCTCTTCTGGCCTGCACAAGCACTGCAGGTACACAGTACACATAACACATGCAGACAAACACCCATACACATAAAATAAAAATAAATAAATCTTTAAAAGATAATAAATAGCCAGGTGTGGTGGTACATTCCTTTAATCCCAGCACTCAGGAAGCAGAGGCAGGTGGAGCTCTCTGAGTTCATGGCCAGCCTGGTCTACATAGGGAGTACCAGGCCTGCAAGGGTGCATAGTGAAAACATGTCTCAAAAAAGAAAAATAGCCGGGCGGTGGTGGCGCACGCCTTTAATCCCAGCACTCGGGAGGCAGAGCCAGGCGGATCTCTGTGAGTTCGAGGCCAGCCTGGGCTACCAAGTGAGTTCCAGGAAAGGCGCAAAGCTACACAGAGAAACCCTGTCTCGAAAAAAAAAATAATAATAATAATAAATACATACATTTAATAAGTAAAGCTTGCAGGAAGTATTGAGGTGAATACTGCTTCTATGATGCTCAGAAGCCTGTGAGATAAGCAAACTGGTATATACTTCTTTTGGATAAGCTTACAGGAGTTTTGGCTGAGGGGTACTGAATCTGACTGCTTCTGTCATGTACAATCAAAACTTACATAAGATCTGGACACTGAGGCAGGAGGACAGGGAGTTCAAAGCCAGGCTGGACACATAGTATCTCAAAAAAACAAGAGAAAGACCTACAGAAATGGCATAAACTCTAATACACAGTACCAG